CCCTGCTCTGTGCATGACAGGGGGCGGCGCCCCAACTCCCCAATCGGCCCTGCTCTGAGCCTGACCAGGGGCTGCACCTAGGGATTGGGCCTGCACTCTGCCACACGGGAGCAGGCCTAAGCCAGCAGGTCATTATCTCCCAAGGGGTCCCAGACTGCGAGAGGGCACAGTCCGGGCTGAGGAACCCCCCCTCCCCCCCGAGTGCACAAATTTTTGTGCACCAGGCCTCTAGTCTATATATATAAAAGCCTAAGCGACTGTTAGGACCAGACAACTGGTCAGTAGCTATGACGTGCACTGACCACCAGGGGGCAGATGCTCAACTCAGGAGCTGCTCCCTGGTGGTCAGTGCACTCCCACAGCCAACCTCCTGCAGCTGTCCAACCTCTCACTGTCTCTCCACCCGGCCGGCTGGCCCTGATTGGCCCTGATAGCCAGTCAGGCTGAGGGACCCCACCAGTGCAAGAATTCGTGCACTGGGCCTCTAGTAAATAAAAATAAAAAGGATAGACTTGGTAGTAAATATTTTGTTCCTTTCTTCAACTTATCAATTTGTCAAAAATTAGATCCATTGCTCCCAGAAGGCCCTTTGAGCCACAAACTTCCTCAAAGTATTTCAGGTTGATGCAACATGGAGATTCAGGTTGGTATTTCAAAACAGTGTCGATTTTTAAAGCACCAGACCCACATATTTCAGAAAAGCAATAAAACATATTTTTATCAGGAGCTAATTTACATTTGAAATGTATGGATGGAAGAAGTGAAACTGAAAAGATTAAAAATTGGAATTCAAATTAATTTACTATTATTTAAAATAAAATTATTAAAAATGGCACTTCTATCAAATGATTGATTATTCAAGTGGTATTTTTTGGACCTCATTTAAGGTTATCATCTTAATTTGGATTGGCAGAGGAAGGAATAAAATAAACACATAAACCTTTACTCTCTGATCCTTCATTTTGGCCTTTTCAAAGTTACCTTAAACATTTTTCAAATATTGGAGAAAAGACTACCCTATAAATTTTAAAACAAAGTTAAAATGCAAAGTTTTTGTAACACAGTACGTGCAATACTAAGTTGCAGAGAGACAATGCTAAAATTTGAATCAGGTTATTAAATTAAGAATATTTTTGTTGTTAGAGGTTAGAATTAGAGTTTGAAAACTGTGTATTATTTGCCCAAAAGAATGATTTTAGATTATTATGCATTCACTGAATTAATTTTAATTAAAAATAAAATAAAATTAACCAATAGAAATATTCATCAAATCAATAAAAATGTCATTTTAGAGAACATATTCAAAATTTCAAAAGGACTATTTTAAAGTAGTAGAATATATAAAATATAATTTTAGCAATCAAAAAGCAAAGTGGCTCTCTTTTAAAATTTAATTCATAGCTTTATGTACAGAACTAAAATTTTAAGAAATTTTGAAGAAAATTAGTAAAAGTAATTTTAAAAATATAAAATAAAGATAAAAAACACAGTTAAGTGTTGTCGAATATATCCTAAGAGAATTTTATTTTATTTTGTATTTTTATTAGATGACTGGCTGCTACATGGAGAATGGGTTATATGTGCAAGGGAAGAAGTGAAAACACTAGTTACAAAGTAACTGTAGGAGAATCTTAATAAGAGTGTGAAAAGGATCATAGCAGTAGAGATTGGAAAAAAATAATGTATTCCACCTGTATTTAGAAGATATAATTAATAGGAGAGATGAAGAAATGGAGAAGAAGGTGTTGTCAAGGATGACCCTTAAGATTCTACTTTCCATAACTGTATGGGTGGTGTGGCAGCGTGTCAAGGAAGACTAGAAGACTAGTATGGAAGGAAGACTA